AACTGTTTAACCCACGCTGTTACTAGAAAGGTACCCAACTGTTTAACCCACGCTGTTACTAGAAAGGTACCCAACTGTTTAACCCACGCTGTTACTAGAAAGGTACCCAACTGTTTAACCCACGCTGTTACTAGAAAGGTACTTCTTAACAGCTTTTGTTAGCGATTATTTTTATCTCTTTGTATCAGATTTGAATCAAGACCTCTTGCATACAAAAGGAGCACGCCGAGTTAAAGTGTTTACCTGCTAGTATTCACTAGTAAAACATTTTTTGCCAATTTAATGTACAATGGTAAAAAAAAAGTGTATTTACAAGTTTCCAAATTTGTAAAAAGCATGTTATTAGAAAGGTTTTGTGACATGAATTAGTTGAAGATAATGATTAACTATGGAAAAAGTTTAAAAAATAAATTCTTAAATATTCCAGATAGGCATGTTTCTTGTTTTTTTTTTGTTTTTAATTATGCACAAAGCTACACAAGGGCTATCTGTTCTCTGCCCACCACTGGTATCGAAACCCGGTTTCTAGCGTTGTAAGTTCGCAGACATACCGCTGTGCCACTGGGGGGTGCATGTTTCTTATAGATATAAAGCCAAGTTGGCTCATTAAAGATATAAAGGATAAAACTGTTCAGGTTGAGGAATAGTGCTTAAATATTTATTAGTAAAATCTGAAGGACAAGTAGAATTTAATAACCCAGCCATCCTATAATCATCAGATATTAGCCTTTCAGTATCATCCATGAAAGGTCCTACTCTTATACTAACATTTTCCTTACCCTTAGTATAGTTGAAGAAGTCCTTATTATCTGTCTTCAAATTTTTAGACAAACTTTTGTCATATAATTTTTGATTTCCTAATTTTCCCACTTGACCACTATATCTTCCATCTTTATGTTTTTCTTTAAAAGTACTTTATAAAAATTAGTTGCAAGTGACTCACATATCCAACTGACCTCTTTTGAACTCTTGGGTAAGTACTTTCTACTCCAAGTGTTGCAAGTGACTCACATTCAACTGACCTCTTTCGAACCCTTGGGTAAATACTTTCTACTCCAAGTGTTGCAAGTGACTCACATATCCAACTGACCTCTTTCGAACCCTTGGGTAAATACTTTCTACTCCAAGTGTTGCAAGTGACTCACATATCCAACTGACCTCTTTCGACCCCTTAGGCAAATACTTTCTACTCCAAGTGTTGCAAGTGACTCACATATCCAACTGACCTCTTTCGAACCCTTGTGTAAGTACTTTCTACTCCAAGTGTTTTAATTATTCTTTAAACAGAATTAAAGTGATCATCTTGTTCAACTTTGTTTCCATCTAGCAAAAGGTTGTTTAAACGTGATGTGTTTTGTTGTGAGATGTGGTAGAAGGTTGTTTAAATGTGATGAGTGTTTTGTTGTGAGGTGTGATAGAAGGTTGTTTAAATGTGATGTGTGTTTTGTTGTGAGGTGTGGTAGAAGGTTGTTTAAACGTGATGAGTGTTTTGTTGTGACAAAGGTTCTGCTGATCAGTAGTGAACTAGCTATTTTACTTGTTTTTTGCCAACTGAATTATAACAAAGTTTCTGCTGATCAGTAGTGAACTAGCTATTAGAATTTTCTACTGATAAAAGCAATACAAACTACAGGTCTCTATTAGCTGTTCATCACTAAATACATAAATCCTCACTACATTTATCAGCACTTTAAATACACTAGTGTCTCATAAGTTGGCAAGACAAAGTAAGTCATCCCTCTAGTACTAGACAGGAAGTGAGTATATGAGTAACGATTTTAATTAAAACCACATAACCTATTGTTTAAAAAAGAAACTTACAACACAATCTAGTTGACCAACTATAGTTTTGGTTAGTACAACAACTAACTATGAACTCAGTAATAAAATTACTCACCTACTGGTATCTAAACTATGGGATGGAAGTTTCAATTTTAATTCCTCAGTAGATGTAGGGGTATTCTGAAGACTTAATGCCTTTCTGAAAGGTAGAATTCTGGTCCTTAAAAGAGGATGTCGATTTTGGAGTGAGGCTGGTCGTTGAGTGACTTTCATCTCTTCAACAATTGGAGATCTAGAATGAGAACCCTCTGGTGGCAGCAAAGTGGAGGGACTAGTACCAGCATGTACAATATGAGAGAGTATCTCCACGATGGTTTGCAGGTCTCTGGTTAGACGACGTTCAATGTTATGGACTTGTCTGTAAAAGTATTAAACACAATCCCATGTCATACAAGTTTACTTTTTCTGCATACCTAACATTAAACTTTGTTTCATGTCACACATCTACCAACATTATTAAAATATCTTTGGACTATGAATTCTTTACTATATCTTTAAACTCCCTTACATTAATTGCCTCTACAACATCTGAAGGCAACCCATTTCATAGGCCAACCACCCTGTTAGAAAAATAAAACTGTCTTAACTGAAGAAGACCTCTTCCCTGCCAAAATTTATATGTATGTCTCCTAGTGATGCATCAACACTATCAATTCTCTTAACAATCTTAAACACCTCAATCAGATACCCTCTAACTCTTTTTTCAAGAGAAAACAATTTCAGAAACTTTAATCTATCCTCATATAATAACATTTCCACAATCCTAAAGCCCTCCTCCAAACCATTTCCAACAATTCAATGTCTCTTCTGAGGTAAGGATCCCAGGACTGAACACAGTACTCCAAATGTGGCCTAACCACTGATCTATTCAGTGACATTATAACCGTTTTCGACATGTCTTTAATATTTCTGTAGATACAGCTGAAAATTCTATTTGCCCTACTACGGCAGCAGCAGGTTGCTTGGATGGCTTAAGAAACTGATCAACAGCATCAAAATCCCTTTCTTCCATGACATTGTTAAGGTTATTTCCATCAAAATTATACTTATAATTCAAATTATAATAACCCACATGCATTATCTTGTATTTATAATATTTAAAATCCATCTGCCATTTATTTGCCCAACTCCCCAAGTAATCCAAATCTTATTGTAAAGCAGTAATGTCCACCTTATAAACAACAGCACCCAAAACTATACATCTATGTCATTGATGTATATCAAAGAGAGCAAAGGTCCTAACACTGAGCCCTGAGGTACCATACATGTCCATAACATTAATCCAGTTTAACTGAACTCCATTTTATAACAACCCTCTGCTTTCTTCCATCCAGCCAGTTTTCAATCCAATGAGCCAACCTATCCCCCACACCTATAGAAATAACTTTTCAAACCAGACTTTTATGTGGCACCTTGTTAAATGCTTTCTGAAAATCCAGAAACACCTCATCCACATTTGTACTCTCATCTACTTAACCAGTAACCTTTTCAAAGAATGTCTAAAGATTTTTAAGGCAAAAATTGTTCTCTGGTGAAACCATGTTGACTATCCAATAAAATTCCAAACTTTGTGAAATGACTATGTAAAGCATCTTTTACCAGACTTTCAAAAACTTTTCTAACACTGATGCAAGACTAATGAGTCTATAGTTACTATCACCTCCCAGTAACATTAGCCAACTTCCAATCTTTGGGCACCTGCCTACTATTCCTACCACACCTCACAACAAAACACACATCACGTTTAAACAACCTTCTAGCACACCTCACAACAAAACACTCATCACGTTTAAACAAATTTCTATCACACCTCAAAACAAAACACACATCACGTTTAAACAAACTTCTACCACACCTCACAACAAAACACTCATCACGTTTAAACAACCTTCTAGCACACCTCACAACAAAACACTCATCACGTTTAAACAAACTTCTACCACACCTCACAACAAAACACTCATCACGTTTAAACAACCTTCTAACACAC